GGTCCGTAAGGAACTCCAAGTTCTGAAACGCCATAAGGCGCCCGGCCCAGATAAATTACCCCCGGCTCTTTTTAAAGATGGTGGCGAGACTCTCATAATGGCTCTAACTGGGTTGTGCAGGACGGTGTGGGAGACAGAGAGCGTACCATCAATGTGGAACGAAGCCATTATCGTCCCCATCTTTAAAAAGGGTCGACGTAATTCGTGTGGCAACCATAGGGGTATCAGTTTGCTACCAGTCGCATCTAAATTATTGGCTTCTGTCTTGCTTCGCAGGCTGTGCAAAATACGTGAAGGATTGATTCGCGAAGAGCAGGCTGGGTTTCGTTCAGGTCGTGGATGCATTGATCATGTGTTCACCCTTCGTCAGTTGTTGGAACACCGCCACACGTATTGCAGGCCAACAATCGTTGTGTTTCTTGATATTAGGGCTGCCTTCGATTCGTTGGACAGAACTGTGCTCTGGAACTGTCTGTTAGAGAGAGGTGTACCTGAGAAATTTGTTAACATCTTGAAAGCCCTATACAGAAACACCTCAGGTAGAGTGAGGGCATACAACCAACTATCACCACTGTTCCCAACCAACACTGGGGTTAGACAGGGTTGCCCAATCTCTCCATTTCTCTTTAACTTTGCCATCGATGACATTCTGGAGTCAGTTCTGAAGGATGTGCGTGAAGGTGGTGTAGATCTGCTACCTGGAGATAGACTTTTCGACCTCGAGTATGCAGACGATATCGTCTTACTGTGCGATAACATGCAGGCTGCCCAAATCGCACTTAATCAGTTGGCGATCAGTGTCTGTAAGTATGGTATGTGCTTTGCGCCGTCTAAGTGCAAAGTACTGTTACAAGATTGGCAGGAGCCTGTACCTGCACTCACTCTTGCGGGTGAACCGCTTGAAGTTGTCGATAAGTTTGTGTACCTAGGTAGTTGTGTGAGTGCTGGCGGAGGGGTGACGGATGAGATTTCCAACCGTATAATGAAAGCTAGGGTGGCATACATCAACTTGAGCCACCTCTGGCGCCGTCGCGACGTTAGCCTGGCTGTCAAAGGTCGGGTATACAATGCTTCGGTGCGGGCTGCGCTGCTCTACGCCTGTGAAACCTGGCCTCTCCGAGCTGAGGATGTGAGGCGACTCTGCGTGTTCGATCACCGCTGTCTCCGCAGGATTGCTTGCGTTCGATGGCATCATCGCGTGAGTAATTCTGAGGTTCGGCGGCGTGTGTTTGAACACAGTGGAGATCACCATTCATTGAATGTCGTCATCTGGAAACACCGGCTCCGGTGGCTTGGACATGTGCTGCGAATGTCACCCCAGAGGCTTCCGTACAGGTCTCTGTTCGCTAGCCTTGAAACGGGATGGAAAAGGCGGAGAGGTGGTCAGCCCATGACGTGGCGTCGTGGGATAAAGGATTTCTGTGCTAGATTAGCATCGGTTGGTGTGTCACGACTCCCTGGTTGGGGTCTGAGAGATAGCTCAAATCGATGGCTCGAAACGTTATCGGATATGGCCAAGAATCGTAATCAATGGCGAATGTGTTGCGATTTCCTTCTTTCTTCCATTCCCGATGATAGTTAACGAACACTGTTTGAACCTGTTAAGAATGAGTGTTTTCCTTCCAGATGAAGTTCTTTATTCGTTCTCTACTTATATATATTTTTTCTTTTCCTGCCTTCCTTCCTTTTTTTTTAATCTATGTTGTTTTATTATTATTGTGTGGCGCATCCTTCTTGGTGCCATAATGTACCAAGTTTTAATGCGTTTAAATAAAATAACAAATAAATAAGGACATCCTGGAAGGCAATTCTGTCTTGGGATTCCTCTTCGCATGTGAGTTTCATAGCCGAATGTACTTCATTGAATTCAGTAATTATTTTACTGATATCGGAACCATTATCACAGCGAATAAAGGTATCATCCATATATCGGCAATAAAATGAGAGCTTACTGATAAGGTTGTTCAGAGGGGAATTTTCTAGCTTACTTAGAAAAAAATCAGCCAGCAATCAATTACAAAAGGAATTTAGTGAAGACCCTTAGCCACAGAGTTAGAGCTATATGCTCTGAAGAAGTAATTAAAGATGAATTAAGCATGGTATATGATACTTTAATCGAAAATGGTTATCCTGACAAATTTATCAAGAAACATATGACAAAGAAAGCCAAAAAGGACTACCCACTGTCTGTTAACAAGAAGCCACTTTATATACGACTCCAATTTATGGGCGATATACCAAGCGAGTTAATTACGAAGAAATTAAGAAAATCAGTTCAAAGAACTTTTAATGCTGGCGAACTACACGTATTATTCTCTACACGACCGATGGTGCTACCTCGACTGAAAGATGAAGTACCTAGACTAGCCACTTCAAATTGTATTTATCAATTCAACTGAGCTTGTGGAGCGAGTTATGTTGGCCGTTGCTCTAGGAACTTGATTTTTCGTACTCGAGAACATATCCCACTATGGCTAAGTAAAGGTGTAGTTAAAACTATTAACAGCTGGATATTAGACCATCTGGTGCAAACCGGTTACAAAGCCAGCGTAGAAGAGTCCTTCTCTATAATATACCGGGTGCCTAACAAACTACCAAAATCGTCGAAGCACCGCATGCTCCAAACAGCAGAGGCTATTGCAATTCGCCTCCAACAACCAGTGCTCTGTGTCCAAAAGAAACAAGTCCAGCCCCTACTACTGACCTGGCCCTCAGTAGAGACTATAAACTCATGAATTTGTACTATTACCTTTCCTAATTCTTCTGGCATCCAGTTTATTTTATGTTGATGCTATTGAGCTGTAATCTATCAGTATTATTGATTTGATGTTATTTAAACATTAATGTCGTTCATAAGACTAACTCATTCATTCATTATAATATATATATAATTGTAGAACCTGATGATGAATTTATCGAAAAGAGTACTCTTTGTTCCATGTCTATTCATTGTAATCTGCCAGATCTTTTATGTGATTATGTTCCTCATTGTACTTATTCTTTCTCCCTCAAAATTTCTGCTCATTATATTTCTTCTGAATTTATTCTCTGCTCATTATATATATATATATATATATGATACCTTTACAATATGTAATGAAAGATTTGACCGAAACAATCTCCTTAAAACTCAATGCAGCACAACGTTCGATAAAATCCACCATAGAAAGAGATTCAAATCTATGTTTCCTACCATTGGATGTGCTACTTCCTAGAAGACCAGACAACATTATCCAAAAATCGATATTATTTATTTTAGTACTTAATTCCTTTATCTTCCGATTGGAACATAAGGCTTCAAGCTATAGCTTCCAAGTTTCGGTAGCAGCGGTTTTGGAGGATTTCATCATGAGCTGACATCAGTTAGAGAACCACTGGAAACCATGGGAGTACTGGACAGCTGTTTCGTCCTGACTCTTCATCAGTACCCACCCACCACAGGTGAGCTCGTAGACCGTTGAGGCACTGGGACCCGATCCAATGGCCAGCCAGCTCGTGAGTTCTAACTTCTGCCAACTCCTGACATACTGCGACTACTTCGCAATGTCTACTTCGATGAGTTACTGCCTCACTTTCAACCTGCTGCACCCTACTGGTCACGGCTTCCCACTAGAACCCCAGATCGTTGCCTGAATAGGGCCAGTCACCAGTGAGCATCAGATTAATTTTCAAGTATTGACTTTGTAGGGATTTAGTTTGATTGGATGGAAGTTTTATTTTAACAAGGTGGAGTTGAAAGGCTCACACCCAACCTTCTCTCCTTACCGGATTAGAGAGGTTTAGGAGCGTGTCGGCCGGAGATTGAACCTGGGACCACATGCGTGGTTGTCGAGCGTTCTACTGCTGAACCACTGACACGATATGCTAAAAAATAACGTAGATTGGGCAGTTTATTCAAGGTTCACAGAAATATTATTCTGACGAGAAAACAAAGTTCGGTCTGTTCTTTATGCTGAAGAATTCGAGTTTATTATCATTGCATTTCTCCTACTGTACTTCCACTATTTTTTACGCATTCAGAATGATTAGGTCATTCTTCACACTTGTTATGCAATACTAACTTCCATTTATTTTATCTTCACCTGTGAAAATAATCCAAAAGGAAATTTTCTTCGCTGTTACGTCTTCCTTTTTGTTTATGATGAAATTTTTCACGCACTTATGGCATGAAAATTTCCATCACAAGCTTTATATAAGCCTACTTTTTGCACAAAACATGAATCATGGTGAATAAAAGATAACAAAGATAGGAAACGGAATACAAATCGAAGGCCACACTGTGGCAACTATGGTCAATACTATGTAGAACAGAGTAGTAGCCAAACTTTGTGTGTTCGTATTCATTGCCAACAAAAGTAACATTTAGAAATCTGAAGACATAAGTTCAACTAGGTAAGTGAGTACATTTCCAATAGGAGGGTTGTGAGATTACCAGATTCTTGGTATTCACATCAATAGTCCTATTATAACGACAGAATGCGAGTTGATCGAGGTTACCCATTAGAATAAATGTGCAAGCAACCATAGCTAACCTACTATAACGGCTATCATCATATCAGCTTAACAAAGCAGATGCAAAAAGGCCTTTGATGAAGTTCTGACGACTTGCACTTCATAACGTTGTTAAAAAAGACAGTCAAAGCCCATAATTCAAATCATATTGTATAAAGGATGGCTACACTGAGAACAGTACGAATTACTACGGGTGCTCAAAGAGAGCATTACGCAACATCAGTCCTTAAAATAACCACATCCCACCCCACAGACACCTCAATTTGCGAAGCTACGTCTATTATTATGAAATTTACTGAAACTAATATTGTTGAAAAGTCGCCTCAATATTATTTCCATGAACTTTTTTCATCTTACTCTACTAAAAATATCCTTAAGATTAACTCCTAATTTTATTCCCTGAACTTCACAAAGTTTCCAGGAGCACAGAAACGTAAAATATGGGACATTATTTCAGTCTCTGAAGAGAATAATTAATCATTTTCAGTAGAGTAATATTTATACGATTATTCAGGAGACCACTTTATTCACAAAAATAAACGTGATTGTACAAAAGACAATTGACAAAGACCTAAACACTATACAAGGTTTAAAACAATGACTTCATCTTCTTCATCCTCCTCATTTGCCGATCTAATTCTACCGTCGATTCCAGCGGAAATATCAGTATTAGATTCATTTATAGCCCCTGGGATAAGAGAACCTGCATGGAACATATGTACAGGATCAAGTTCGTATAGGTCATTTGCAGATGAGTCAGGAATATCTGTGTCTACATTTCGATTACTACTGCTGGAAACTTCAATCACACCATAAGGTGAAAATTTTTTGGGAGACTGATGCTTATTGTGTACAGCTGTCGCAGATGGTTTATCCTCTTCAGAACTAACTACATCCATATCATCGTCTGAGTCTAAATTAAATTCGTTATCTTCTGGCAAAATTTCTCCTTCTTCTCTGTCTGTAGCATTGGCTTGATTGTTTTCCTCCAACAAAAATGATGCAGTTGACAACACCAACGGAGCATCTAACATGGACTGGCTGATTTCTCTGATTTCACTGAAACGTGCATGAGAAGCAGTTAAAATCGCCTCTCGTTGAACAGATAAACCTTCTAAAACCCACTTTAACAACGGTACAAGACATTTGGCTTTAGTATTAGCTAGACGAATGCATCTAGATAAGATAGGCAAAAAAAAAAATAACAAATGATGTTTTGTTAAAGACAAACTGAACACAGCTATACAAGAAACTATATTTTACAATAACACATACCTACCATAAAAAATACCTGCACAAACTTCATAAAATAACTGCAAGGGGGGGAAGGAGATTGATAAGACCAATTTATTTCATTGGCCTAAGAAAAAATGTATGATTCATACTCAATTTTATTTGATCGCTTGTAGTTAAAAGTTGTAACCGATAATGTGCGTTTCGATCTATTATGGGTGGAATTAAAATCCTAATGAATAATTTGGCACTCGCTATTGTAAACGTCTTTTAGACTAACAAGTAACAGCAATCACCTCCTGTTGTTATCATTAACATTGCAAAATTTGTTTTACACTTAGCAGAACTGACATTTAAAGCAATTAGTGCTGAATATATTTTCCAATTGGAAAAGAATTATCAATGATGAAATCCTCACTAGACTGTTTTCCCTTTGGCATAAATTGAAAACAAAATGCTATCCTGATGTGGCAGTAACGACCGGAAGAATAATTCCGGCTGGTGACACTTTTACACGAGGCTCCTACAGAAGAGGCGCAAGGGTCCACTATTTCACCATTTAATTAAAGCATAAACTGGAAACAACATGCAAAAACACAATAAACAATAGTAATATGACGAAAATACAGAGGAGCGAAGAGATTAATCACATGATCCACCATGATTTTGACTCATAGCCTGGGATGTCTCAAACTGTATCCGATTAAGGATTATGCACTAACACATTCTAAACGAGCAGTCCTTTAGGTCAGGATGTTAGGTCATGAGCCAACAACCCCAAAAACTTCTTCCAAACATCATAGTAAACAAGATGTAATAAATGGTATGAAAGTGCTGGGAAATTTTTTTAACATAAATTGAAATCACTAACACGATGTGAGCATGACTTTTAACATCAAGATTAACGTAGAGTTTTATTAAGGTTGCTCTGACTTTCAACTTCTGGTTAAAAAAGTTGTTCGCCACAACTTCACTCTCACTGGTACTAACAAACACTATTTGATAAACGAGGATCCACCTTCAACGGCACGTGCAAGAGCCTACCTATCGTATAAAAGTGCTTTGTACTTTGAAGGCGAGAAGTCCACATCATATTTACAAACACTGATTAAATTCAGATTAGACAGTCAATATGCTGTCATAAATTAAAGTGTTTCTGTATGCATGCACAAGGTAGGAGATACAGAGCACTATGCCACCTATGTAGCTGTCTCGAGAATGTAGTCAACCATAGAGTTAAAGACAGTTAATTAATGCAAGACACAAGTTTTAGCACTATGATACATTGTAATTCTAAATTAGATAAGTTCACTCGACAGATAACTGGGCGACATTTCGACCATAATTTAATGCCTACAATTATACCATAGCGCCATGGATATTGTGGTGAACAATAAGTTTTTCCCTGGATAACATTCACTCATTAATATTGTGTTATATCAAATAAAATTATAAAATATAGAATTAAAGAGGAACGTTGAGACTAGACAATCCCCGTCTAACCCTAATGTTTGTTTTGAATATGTCCTAGTTACTTGAGGTGTTTTTGTACAATCCTTTCAGGATTTTGTTCAATTTCAGCACTCTATACCGGACAATTCCACAGAACAGTTCTCATATTGAGGAACCTAAAAACCATCGGCCAAGAACACATGCAATACATTTCAAGTAACCACCGAAGGTTAAACACATGATTGATGCACTAACGGCCTAAAAGGTACTTATGATCTCCGTGCTTTTTAAAGTGAATGAAATAATGATTATGTTGCACTTTCTACTGGCAAGAATATGTAAGTAGTATATTAAAGATGCCTTCTGCAAAAATCTGGAATGGAAGAGATGGATTAACTCGTAAAGAGGAACAATGAAGACAATTGTGAGGTAGAGAAGAAAGTATGAAATGGAGACCAAAGAAGTAGAATACGAATACATTTTGTGAATTGACGTTTCAGTGTAAAGTTTTCATATTATGCTATGTCATTTAGCCAACTAAAACTAATTCCACCAAATACTGTTACAATAACAGCGAATATTTGTTAAGTGGCTAGTGAGTTAAAACACTCTAATGGCTGTTGCATTAAGTTACCTGAAGTCAAAAGTCCCACGTTTTTTCACCTTCACCTCTGTCTAATATGGCATCCTTTATTTAATGTACGTTTTCTGGTAGTTCTCTATAACTTTTGCTTATCATTTCCGTGGGATCAGTAAGCAGCTTTGAATGCAGATCAATTACAAGTGAAATATTAAGTACAATAGTTTACTTCTTCCAACCTACTTTATAAAGACAAATATTACATTACCAATGATCAAGGTAGACCAAGTAATCGGAGTAGTAATGCTATATACATCAATGATATAAGTAATCGATTGCAGCTCAGCGTATTTGAATACAGAATTTAATAACAAATAAAGCACAAAGGTGAAGATTGATCTCGAATTTGCTGGCAGTCAAAAATAGATCATCAACAATGCAAAGCAGCAGAGATTAATTCGTATTGCCTGGTCAGCTGGTCTCTACCAACTGCATTAAAGATTTTCTTTTGACCTAGATGCCGACTCTGTGCACTCAAAATATCCCGTTAGCGTGCATTTTGCGATTCCGTGGACATTAAATAAGGAATAATATAGTTCTTTGATCAGAAATGTATTAATTGACCTTGCTAGTTTGAGACAAACAACGGTGAGAGAAAAAAATGCTATGATGGTAAACTTCAGTTGTATGTGCTTCAATGATCATAAATCCGGTCTCTCAGTTTCCCAATAGGAATGTTTTGTAATTTTACGCATAACAAACCATTGTACTCCTTTTCCGTTGGGAGTGATTAATGAGACCCAAGGAGCTACAGGGGGCCTACAGAAGCCAAGTATTTACTAGCGACACTTTCAGACCTACTGTCCCCCATTATGCTTGTAAGTGCTCTTTATAACTGTCAACATTATCGAGAGTATCAGTAACAAGCACTGAGTTAAGTCCGACTCTGCTTCCAGTCGAAATAAAGAGTTTAACTCCTGTAGAGCCAGCAGTCTGAATGAAATTTCGGATCCCTATCACTATCTATGCCACCACCCTAATGACAGTAGTGAATTTAAATCTCACAACTAATTAGTTAGTCATACTTACCATTATTTTGTTGGGTTGGTTTATTGTTGTCACTTTTACTCTTACTTTTATCTATATTGCCCTCAGATGAACATGACTGCTTCAGACTGTAGTCTGTCTGCCTTTGATTCATACAAAACGTGTTTTAACAAAGCTGTCTTCAGTCTTCATATTCAGCATAAGTGATGAGATTATGTTTAAACTTCCTACGTGAGACCTTGGTACCTTGATGCAAATCCAACCACATGAAGCTTTAAAGGGATATTGAAAAACCCTGTTACTAATTTTTCCTGCAGACCAACTAGATGATGAATAAAAAATACTGGTAGTTACAAGAGACTTCAGAGTTAACAAAGATGTGAGGATGTTTGACATAACTCGTTTGCCCATACTAAAAAATGGAAGAGCCTACTACGGAGCCCAGAAGGCGTCTTTGTAAAAGTTGATTACACATGATCTGATCAGAAGTATTGGCTTTTACGTATTTGTGTCCATATTTAGAGAGTCGACTACCGAAAGACTTAGGCCGAAACAGCGAACAGTCTATGTGACAAACCTTCCTATGCATTCATGCTTTGTTTGCACGTAAACCATACTATCACAACTCATTTTTACCCTATCTTATAACTTTCTACCGCTAATGAAAAAATTATTTTCACATCTGTTTTCTTTATTACCACTTTCAAATTGACGTGCAAATGTAAAACGTTCCAAATTAGACTGTCACTTAGTAATACAAGACCGTTATTGATCACTTCAGTTTAAGCAAGAGTCAATCAAAACCCATACACTAATGAGTGGTCAACTTATACAGATAATATATTCTAAGGAAACAGACAAATATGAAAACTATATGTGGCGAAAAACTCACTTGGAAAGAGATGAACATTTAATGGGTACAGAAAGTCCAGTAGTATACAAACAACATATTTCTGAGGAACTCGTTAAGCCAAGCATTATACGTCCACCATTGAGAATAAATTCTTCACGAGCAGTAGGATCGACTAGAGCTACTTTAGCATCATTACTTAAACCAAGTGTAACTAGCACAGGGATACGACGAACGCTCAAAGGAACTCGTGGTCGGAACTTCGCTTCAAAATCGACTGATACCTAAGGAATATTACATGAAATATATAAAAGGTATAGTAGATTCGAAGTCATGACAACTATAATTATAATGGCCAGTATTAGAAAGCTAGGGTGGCATATATCAATTCATTCTTTTCCTACTTTCTTTATATACTGTTCTATTATTTTTTCTATGGTACAGCTCCTGGTGACCAAGTTCGGGCTTTAAACAAATAAATTAACTATAGATTCAAAACAATCCAACAGTACGTTAGAAACACTGGCCTAATGCAATTCTATTAAACTCCTTAGGTGTTAATGTGGGATGCATAAACTATGTGCATTTCTTGCTTATAGTCCACACTTAGAGAAGCATCAATGTCCGCACATCAGGAGTAAGGAAAACTTTTGAGAAGATACTGCCCATTGTAATTATTTCTGCTGAAACTCAAAATAAGATGCCTTGAAATAAACAGAATTAGTCTCAGCACATTCACTGAGCAAGATGTCCGAGCAAATGGCAGTCTCGTTGTTGTAAACTCATATTCAGAATATCTCCATTACCACACTGTATCGAGTAGGATGGGTAGCAGTTTCATGGTTTCCTATGTACATCCAGTCGTAGGCATATATGTTGACGGACTACAGCGTGATAAGTACCCACACTTGCGTGCCCGTAAGGCATAGAAAATGTCTATGATTAAATAACAAACACTAATAATACATAGGATTTAGAACTTTCAACAGTTACTGCATTTACACTTACGATTTTAGCCTCTAGCGGTGTTTACTATGGCTACTGGAGGATGATAACTAAATAATCAAACGTGGTAGCTTCAATACACATTCCGGAAAAATCCTCCTGAATGAATTATTGGTACGTCTTTGTCTAGCTACGTTTAGTGTTTTCTAACCTGTACAACATAAGCCCATCTAATGGTTATGGACAAACCACCTGCTCATACTTTGCAGTTTAATTGCGAACTCAAGATTAATCACCCTATAGAACCAGTACCACAAGAAATTATACGAAGAACTTTATAATCAAAAATCTATAACCTCATTTCTCCCACCACCAATCGAGCTTTGTATATGAAGATTAGGGCCACACAAACTGATGTGTACAAAATTCACTTGCTTTTTGATAAGTAACCGTAGAAAGAAAGATGGACTCGATAATAACCGACAGCATCAAATAAAAGTACATAGATTGAAGATAAAATGCGTTCCCATGCAAAAAGAGAATGTTCGGAAGACCGAGGCTCAAAAAAACATAAAAAACAAGTCAGTGAGCGACGGATTTATAGCATTTATGCTGTCTAAAAGAAATCGATGCCTAACTGTATCAACTATGCAACATTATCACCAAAATAGGGACTCATATACTGTTGGGTATCCTGATTATTACTTTTAAAACCCTTTTACAAGATAAGATGTATATATATGCATCATCATAATGTTATTTAGATTATGGTAGAATTACGGCAAGAGATTACTAACTACTGCGCTTGCGACAACTATGATCAGGATTTGCTGACATACAATTGCTAGCCCAATAAATTAGTTATTTGGTAAGATTTCACGAAAGTATACACAGTCTGGAAGCAGACTGTATGCTAAGTAACTTGATGCGACAGCATCCTCAGCACAGGAAACACCACCAATCCCAATTTCTCGGTTATGGGGGCAAACATTACTCAACTAGTTCAGTCCTACCTTTCAATAATGTATAAAGTCCCATGCGTTACTTGTATCAGTGAACATCAGTTCATATCTACGTCTCTTTTATAAACGAATGATCTGAAGTAAAAAGTGCCACGCATTTGACTTTAACTTACTTTACCCATATCATCAACAAATACATCTGGTCGGCGGAAAGCAGCCAATGCAGCGACTGCGGCTAATGCACCACAATCTCCTAAATTCCCATCGTACGATAAGGCGCGCAATTCAACTCGTATGGCAAAAACGCGTTCCCATGCGACAATACAGAGGGAGTCTAAGTCAATACAATCTCGAAGAAGTGTCTGCAGAACAGCTGATAATCGACGTCCTTCATCATCACGCTTTTGTTTGTGATACACAGCTATCGGAAAAGAAATTATGAATTAACACATACACAGCATTGTAGGGTTTTACATCGAGGATTTATTCATTTTAGAGTAATTAACATTTTTAAAACAAAGTTGCTATTATGCGGTGATCGTAAGTGACCTTTGAGAACCAAAAGTCAACGTAATATAGGAAAAACGATACTTCTTACATCACGATTTCTTAAAGATGCGTTCTTAGCAAACTATCAACCTAAAAGTAAAGTTATTGTCCATTTAATTCTCGTTAATCAAGAATGTCATAAGAGATAATATAAAATAATCTTATAACGATATCTATAAAGAACCTGACCTCCTCTTAATTTTCACCTCTATTTAGCTACCATATCTCAACTGTAGAGTATAATTGATTATACTATCATCAATTACACCTGTCAATTGATGGAAATTCAGATAGTGTGCTACTGTTAAGTAGTGCAAGTAAACAACTACTGTGAGAGAAATACACTTGTAAAGGAATATCTAGCGTCAGTGATCAAACCCCGGCCAAAAACTAACAGTCGTGAGGTGAAGAAACTCGAGTGGATTTATTGCATACCCTCGCTAATTGTAGCGTCGTAATCCGTTGCTACGGTGGTTTAATGGAAAGTTATGTATTTCTTATGCTTTTTAAATGAAATTCTGCATCAAAAATTTTTATCCGGAGTACACACTAACAGTGCCATTATGTTCTTGAACTGCGTTACATTTGCTGCACTTTTATCAGAAAATGTTGCTTGTTGCTGATATCTGCGCAGTGTAATGAATTAAAGGAAGTGATAAGTCTAAAAGTTCAACGTATACTACTGGATTTTCATGAAATAATGCCGGTATATTTTGGCCTATTTACTGAAACGCCCTAATACCCAGTAGATAAAGGTGACGCCACTTAAAAAAACAGGATATACCATATAATCGCCCAAGAGACTCATTACCCAAGGATGAACTTACACTATCTGATAAAGATGAGAAGATATCAGAATGTGTACAAAAATACAATTTTTGTAAAGCAAGAGCAATAAACATTGTGAGATGAAAGGAATTCAATCGCATTGTGTGTGCTGCAAATCTCCTAAAAGTGCACTTAATTAAAAACCTGTGTGCCATTTAATAACTTAACATGCCATTTTTAAATATAAACGATTTGATTATATCAATGAACTATATCAATTTACTTTCATTCCATAGTGGCATCTTAAAATCGTAAATTGTACACAAATTTTCAATTTAGTGAGTATATGGAAGATTTAGAATACAGGAAGTGAAATTGAATTCCTTTAATCCTACAATGTTTCTGGTTTAGGCTTGGCGAAAATTTATAAAGGGAACTAGGTGTTCTGGTTAGAAGAATCGCCATGACAACATTTGTGTCATTCAGGAAAAAGACTACTATTACTACTTAGCCTCATTGTTACTTATCACCTCAACAGTTAATAAATTGATTTGTGCTTGCCTTCCTTTCCTAAATAATGAACAGTTTTTTAGTAATAAGCATCCTGTGTTAATTCCTGCAGCTACTGCCACTGTAACGGTCCAGTTTCTCCTGCGATGTGCTTACCAAAGGATATGATATCGGTATTACTGTCTGTCAGTGGGATTTAACTGATGCGCTAAACATTTCCACACCCCGGGATGATTATGGTTAGAAGATACGCTCTACGCTGTACTACAGATTTAATGTGAACCAAGTCAGATAATCAGGTTGATGTTAATTAATAGGGTAGTTAAAATTTAATTATTAATAATTTAGAACAAAAAGTTGACAACATGAGAAACATAATGTATCTACAGTATCAGGGAAACAAAAGATAAGGTATTGGCTGTATAAACATTTCTAGAACTACATACCTAAAAAAGTAATTCTCAATCTTATTTTCTCAATGACAGGATACATTAAACGTCAAGAAGCGACAGCTACCACTTTTATGTGCTACGTAGGTCAACATACAGAACAACCTTTTTGAATTATTCGGGTGCTTTCAAGAACCAGCAGATTTTAACCTAAAAAGTCGATATTTTTACCCGCCATAATTATTGAAAGGTAACATTAAGTTTGTTTGAACTAGTGTAATCGAGCATTGGAAACTTGGTGTAAATACTCCAATAGGAATAATATTGACTCAAGATACAGTTGCTGCATTAGCAAGACTTGAAAAGATCAAGTCTCATAAAAGTAAGAAAGAACATCATTCAGCAAGACTAAAATAGCAACAGTACCAAAAGTTATCTGAAGTGAAATGTGATACTGTAGTTTGTAATATACGAAAAGACCCTGTCCAACACATCTTCACCATCGCCAACATAACTACACGCATATACAGATGTCTTGACTGCTAAGAGTTCCTTTACAAAAGTAAATTCAGACAGAGAATTCAGCCAATCGTTACAAGTATTCTGCCTTTTGGTGAGGCAAGGCACATGGAGCTTAACTACAGTATAAGGATAATGCAAACAAAACGTAAATTTACATTGTTTTTGTTTTCTTATATATCTAACGATAAGACGTAGAACTCTACACAGAAGTGCATTAGTTCCTGTTGCAACATCGAGGAGGTACGCAAGATATGGAAGCGAAAATTTAATAATATCAAAATAAATAATAATAAATGGCATGAACAGAAATATTGATAGTGAAGATTTATACAGTTCAAAGTATGGTATGAAATGAATGCATCCACACTAAAGACATGTGACTCATTATCTATAACACGACTATCAACAGATGAGACCCAAGTTCAAAAAAGACCGCAGAGAACAGGATGAAATGGAGATATGCTGTTGAAGCCCTATATTCCACTCAGAACCCAAGGGAATAATAATAATTACCAAATTCCATGCGTCGGTGGCATAGTGGTTAGGACGCTCGCCGACCATGCACATGGTCCGGGGTTCGACCCCCGGCCGACGCACTCCTTTACCTCGCTAAGCCAGAAATAACGCTGGTGAAGAGGAAAAGTTGGGCATGAGGCTAGCAACCCCATCCTGTAAAATAAGCACTGCTACAGAAACTTCAAGCCACTAGCTTGAAGCCCTATGTTCCACTGGGGAACGTGAAGGAAATAAATAAAAAAATGACATCTGTTTCAACCTATGCAATTGTTTAGTATCATCAGTCCCAATAAGATAAGAGTAACTAATAGTGTGGAACATGTGAAACCTGTTTCAAATAACTGAATTCCAACACAACTATTGTGAGTAGTTTTGAGTCATCTCACCAATAAATCCAAATGACTATTGGTATCTTGAGAACTCTAGCTGAACAACCTAGACTTTCATGTGAGTAATACGAAAAAAACCGATAACTTCATTGGTTGGTGTCTTGTTTTCGTCCATTTCATTCTATCTAAGCCAATAGTTCACCAAGAAAGGTGATAACATCCCAACCACAGTTTTCGGAAAATATCCAATACGTCATCGACTGATTTACATTTCACGTCTAACACCACATCTATTCTCAACATTATTTACCTTAAGAAACGGTAAAACGATACACATGGCTGAAGACCTTTCCGTGACAACGCTTTACAACAGTAGAGCAGAGAACAGATAAATGTTGCCCGGTGCGGATGCCCAATGACAATCAGCGAGATTTTCTATTGCTAAAACAGATAAATGATTTAGGAAGTAACAAACGAAGCTTAATATTTATGCTGAAACTTCGTCAGTAACTAGTTCATTAAACTAGATGCAACCTGTTAAACGGATGACATGAGCAACAGATCGGATCACTTTACCTTCCATAAACCGAAAGTCAGTGCAATTTTACATTCCAGAGGAGGAAAGCATATGTGGACATCCAATTGTTTGCTCCATGACAGGAGCACGTGTACAATAGGCAATCTAAATTGCTTATAAATATGTTTCAGTTATGTTTGAGGTTTACAGATAAGTACACCGTCTGTTATTTTTGTAAAGCGCTTTCATTTCCTGAGTCGTATACATGACCTGATCATAAACCCAAATAAGAGAAAAAGTGGACCGTCTAATTTCCAACTTCTGAGGCATTCTGCAACACTTTTTGGTGGAAATGAGTATTTCTACGTCAACATTTAGAAACTTTAAAAGTATGTAATATACGACTCTCGCATTTTTAACTGTTAACACTAAAGACAATTTGATCTCAGCCTAACAGTCACAGTAAATTATATCACTGAGAGAGCAAGATGGACTATATTTTTTAAGGAATAGTGATTTTCTCCATCAAATAACTGATACTGTGTAGGAAGAAATACTGAAATAACACCGAAAACTCACTTTTACACAACTTTAAAATACTGGCATCAAAGTGCACGAACAACATTCCTTGAGATGGTCGGAAATGTTTCGGTTCAATGACTTCTGCTGAAACTTGAGCCATGACCGACGTAGCACCTATTTTGACAACACAACAGCCAGAGACTTCGCGATCCTTCCCTTGAGGGAAACGAAAACTAATTTCACGATATTCGCTGAGCGATCTACCATCCAAACGGTAATTATTCACAAGCATCTCTGTCAGTGTAACAATTTCTCGTGTGGGCAACATGATTCTAAAAACACAGCTATTATAATTTTAAAAATATATATAAACAGTTGGCATAAGATGAGAAACACAAACTATCACATGTACACAGACGTGTACTAATTTAAAAAAGTTTATTAGTCTCTCTTGGAACACCTTTCAAAAGTACATATTGATGACGTGGGCAGGATTACATACATTAAAAATCAACAATGATAGGTAAAGGAGAATAGGAAACGATTAAAAGATTAATGGAACCTAGAACTTCCAAGAAGCAATTTCTTACCTATTTGTTCCCATTTATCCCAGAAACCTCGGCTTACATTTCAAGACAGACCACGAATCACGGATTTTATACACTAATCTTGCTTCAGGCAACAATGTTTGTTAAATAAAGCGGCAGAGCCGGAAGACAACATAAATGGCCTGTTAGTCGGTCAAGGGGGACACCACATCACTGTTGCTGCGCTATCCTTCCAAAATACTTTTCTCTCTAACTCTTATCCTACAGTAGGCAACCTCCCCTATGATGATGTTTTTGGTATAACCATTATTCAATCGACCTTTCGGGCAGCAGCTACCAGTCATAATCGTTCAGATTCAGAAATCCTTCACTAATCTATATCCCATAATCCTACGTATATTTTAACTTTATTACATCGTTTTTACTTTGTGTTTATGCGGAGTGTGGCAACTTGAACTGATACACTATTCATGTATAGATTTAGGCTGAAAACTAATCTGAAAAGTGACAGCTGGACATGCATAATGCGTGTTTCAACCGACTCGGATAATGACAACCTACTATCATTGCCAGAAACATCTTCTTTACCTGGACTTCTATGTCTAGTATAAACAAACCTTAATTTATAACTCCATTAGAGAGGAATGAGCTGCAGTTCCGTTTCCTCCTAATTCAACGACCACATCTCATCGGTGTACAGCTACGTGCCTTTAGTTATTTGGTGCCCTGATGCTTTAGTGCGTATAGGTATGTTTGCATGAAATTTATCCTGCCGTACAATATTTTTTTTTAAATCAGTCTTTGTCATTTATCAGTTGACGAGGAATTGAGACTTCTAATTAGCCACTATCTTGATTTTTACGCTGACTTCGATTGAGTCCTTCCCGATGATATCTCCAATTATCATGTCATATGATCTGGTGGAAAATAATGATATGCAACATCCCTCATCCTACGACGCTACGCAATAAGCTCAGTATTTGGGATTTCTCAGCCTGCTGCAGGGACGACAAACAACGGACGATATAGAATGCATTTTGCAACTGAATTCAGTGTCCCAAGAAAATAAGACTGTTGACAAAAAACTCCTAATTTAGACGTACGAGAGTCACTACATAATAGAATTATTTACTCCGTCTCATTATCAAATTCGAAGAAACAATGACCCCCAACAATTCATGGCAGCTAACTATTCTTCGCACGTGTACAACAAGTTTACGACAGTCGATCAGGATTTCACCTTCCAAACCAAACTTACAATGAACAACCTCACATCGTGGCATTGACAGAGATGAGTGCAATGGGCATATGCTTATTGGTCGTTTGATAGAGGACTACAAATATTGTTTGCCACACGACGTGAAAGCCTCACGAGTGAAAATTAGCAATTTAGCCTGACTACTGTCTTGTCACATTATACGAAGTAGCAATAATACCAGTAAATTTTAAATCCTCGGTTACATTCAAAAGAAATAAGCTTTATTATCTTCCAGCCAGCGGACAACAGGTTGAAGTATTTTCTGTATTATTCAGCGGCACTTCACAAATATCTCACAGTTATATTCACTCTTACCAACGATTTTCTACCCTCTCAAGGAGCATCCATACTCCTCTCTACTGCTACAGAAACTGCCTTGCTACGGTTTGGTCAACACAAGCTCTGTAATAATTGTTTTTTCTTATCCTTTCACCGTGCTATGTCAAGAGAACATTAGATGCAATACTATAAAACATGCTTAAATTTCCAAAATGAATAGACAGTACTGTTTGAAACAAACCCATTGTTAATATTATTAGAACTATTATTTTGTAATTTACACTTTTGACATAATTCCTACCGAAAATGTGAACAAATCCTTGCGTTGCTTTTATTTATATTTTGAGTAAATTATAGACAGTGCTGTGACAAATGCTGAGAATTCCATTCTGTATTAGAAATACTGCGTTTGGAATAAAGTAGATTATTGTATGTACATTTCCACAACAACAAAGTCTAATTTCACGGGGTTTAAATTTGTCTAGTTCATACAACCCTCTCTTTGCATCTGAACTGACAGTTATGCCCTCTGGACTATAATTCTAATCTTTGAAATGTAATATATTGGGTGCCGAGCCGACTTACTTCCCTCCTAATTTAACCAGAAATATCTAGTATTCATAATGTTCCAAAACTCGCATGCTTAGAAGTTTCTAAATAAACAAATGAATAAATGCAGAGGAAAATATCACTTGCAAAGTTTAGTACTGCAATAATTAACACATTTCAACGTGCTGTATAAGAAGTTAGGTCTACTATCAAACGGTTCCCGTGGTACCTAAATCAACCAACTAATATATAGTAGCAGAATTGCTCAGCAGAACACGGGGAGATAGACCAAATCACAAGACACACTTGTATCATATCAATTGAACATAGAAATATACTATATGAAAAATTACAATCATACAAAGCCTAAAATGCACCGGACACACATAACCCACTCACAAAGAAAATCGAAAGTGCCCTTAAGAACTGACAACGAACACACAATGAGGTGGAACGATTCCAGGACCCAAATAAGAAAAAAATAGCTACGACTAGGACGTAGTGTATTGTTGTAGCGTCCTAAATAAATGCTGCGCTAACATCCAGCGTACAATATTGGTAAGGCCAAACTTAGGCTGAAATTAGACTGGACTTATCCGGCATGTTGGTTGAAATTTCGCTCAGCAAATTTGTTTTGTCAATAGTTTTTAATAAAATTTTGTTGTATATTTTCTGGATTGATAGGAATTCTCATTTCCTGGCTAGTTATGTTGGTGTCTGCGTCATTTAATCTGACTGCGACACACTTAGCGTATTGGTTGTAATGATTAGTGTTTCATGCTGAATGCGTCAAAACATCTCTACAATGAAGAAGATGGGGTAGTTGGGGGGTAATGTCATCTACACAAATAGTTTATTTCTTGTAGAAGCTGCAGCTTTCGACATAGTGTCATTCAATGAAGACTACGTCAAAATGTGGCTATTTTCGTGTGAAGAACAGTACTATTTTACAAAAGAATGCTATCAGTACATAGGAATCACCTATAAATGCCAAAAGGACATAAAGCCAATGTGTAAACGAACGGCTATGGAACTGCAATCCAACATAACCGACTAACATGGACGAAAATGACCTTTGAGCGTCTCACTCCATCAATGACCTTGAGCATGCGGGATAATTTCAGCTCTGAAATTTTTATGTATTTGTCTACGCTGTGCATAACTGTTGAGAGTTGATACCTGCTTACCCCATATCTGATGGCTGCAGTTGACTAAATATGCTAATGTAATTTTTTTAGGTTTCACAAAGCCATGTTCACTAGACATTAGTGAGATTTTGGATTAATTTCTAGGCTACACCTTTGCAACAATTCCTTTAATGTAAATGTAATTACTGTGAAGTTTCTGCTCAAGCTATCTTGGTGGGAATAGTCCCTTTGTAGTTTGGATGTTTCAGAGATTGTCTTAAAATTTGCATATCATCCTCTAATACTAGAAAACACATGAGGTCTGTTTATGCATATGGCGTCAATACAAAAATCAGCTATGGAATGACATGTAAAATTATCTTTTATAACTTCATGTAGTGCTAGTCCTTACATGTGGTAGTTTTTTCTAGGTATATGGAGGTTGTCGAGTATGAAATCAGAAAATATCTGACTTTGTGAAACTAACGCTAATAGCCCTCATCAGAATTTTCTTCTGCAAATTAATGAAGTGTTTAACATACACTTAGTCACAACTTCTTCCGGACTTCCTCAGTGCGTCACTTTAATGTTGGCTATTGTAACAAATGGAGTTGGATTAATGCATATTAAGTTTAGTGAGTGGAGCGAAGACTTACTGCGGAATTATGAGTTTGTTGCTTCGGTCATTCGTAGAATCTAACGTCTGTTTCTAGAAAATATCTAATTTCGAAAACTAACTAGTATTTATCAAGCTGAGAATAATACTGTGCTGTTCGATAGCTTAAAGCCACCTCATTTAGCCAGCTGCACGTCTGTATACTGCTGAAGGCCTAGTCGGTGGTACGAGTATATATAGTGGCTTGGAATCAATAGCTACCTCATTCATCTTTTAATATGAAGTGGCGTCGTCAAACAGACTGTCTGCTTGATTATGAGCTAAGAAACAATTTTTTATTTATTTCTAATATGCCATTGAATCTTGCGATAATAACTAATATCCATCATCGTTATGATCAATAACTGCAGCGTTTGTACAACTACTCTATGGACATTAAATTAATTACGGTTTAATGCATCTAATAATAACTGACAAACTTTACTGATGCCACATTATCCTTCTTGACGTGTTTTTCTTGTTTTAATCATGATAGTAGCGTGTTCTGTAGGACTCACCACACAGAGTGTCAGTCTTATATCTACACCATATGTAGACACAATATTTAAGGGATAGATATACAAATCGAAGTAAACGCTTGCACTGTACATCCATTATTTGTAAGCCTATCTAGCAAAATATGTAAGCACTACGATATGACCAGTTATAAATAAATAAATTTATTCTCATAGTACAGTACAATACATGAGGGACGCCAGTTTACAGACATCAAATTGTTACAGAATTATAAATATAGGCAAAAAACAACAGGTGTAGTATTTTAGCTTATACATTAAATGGTCCTATAATTTCGGAGGCTCTCAGATAGGAACTAAAACTACTATCGTTTGCAAACTCTTGTAGTTCGTCATAAAGCAGCTTTCCGAAGGAGGCCAATGTACTTGCTTGACG